TACTTGTCTTACAAAAGTAGAAATTCAAAACATCTTTTTGAGTTTGTTTCATCTTCTACAGAATGGGGATAAACAATATTCCCATCACGAAGTATTGCTTGGACTAAATGCACAAAATGGTGGCTGGTAAGTACAAGTAGTGTCTGGTGTATGGAGGGGGAATCAGTAAATGACAGCTGCTTCACTGGTCCTCCCATACACATGATGGCAAAGTCTGTCATCTTTTATTAATTCACAGGGCTCACTTTCTCATAACACTATTACCAGGCAATTATGAACTGCTAAGAGGGAAATGTCTTTTCATGAATTTAATAATAATGATAATGATACTATACAGGCATCCTGCTAAGTGCTTTTATATGCATTATTTCATTGAGTCCTCTCAAAGAGAGGTACTTTTATTATTCCTATTTACGGAAAAGGATACGGAAGCTGCCAACGGTTAAATAACAAGCTAGTTAGTGCATGGGGTGGGATTTGGACCCCAGCAGTGTGGTGCCCGAACCTCACTCTTGTTAGCCACTCTACATAATCTTCTATTACAACCGTTTTTATTATGACTTGAAAATAGAGATTATATGGGGATGCCATACAGTAATGTATATAAAGCACTGTACATAATACCTGCCCCATGGTAAATTACAAAAGAAAAAGTCATGAAGGAATGAGAATTTTTAATAATACAATTAGGTCCTCCTGTCTGTAATGTCCTTTTATTTTCTTTAACACCTTTATTGAGATATAACACATACTATAAAATTTACCCATTTAGGGACTGGCAGATGGCACGGAAGTTATATTGCTGAACATCCACATGACCAACTGCAATTCGAATCCTGGACCCAGTGGCTTGAAAATCACACCAGAGGCATGTGTGTGCATGCCCAAGATCCTGGGAGAGGAAAGGAGAAGGGATTGCGGCATGGCCATCCCTCCTGGGCGGGGAGGTGGTGATGACTTCTCATTTTCCCTCTTACTGTGCGTGCCCCTCTCTCTGGCAAGTGCATGTGCTCTAAGGCAAAAGCTTCTAAAAATTTATTTTAATTACTTACTTAAAGTATCTAATCCAATGCAGTCATGCACTGCATAATAATATTTTGGTCCTTGACGGTTCTCGCCTAAGACAGTGATCACATCAGAGTGTGATAAACCATGCCATGTGATCTAGGTGTACAGTAGGTCAGACCGTCTAGACTTGAGTTCTGATGTTTGCATAACAACAAATAATCCAACAAATCATTCCTCAAAATGCATCCCTGTCATTAAGCGACACGACTGTATAGTTACAGAACTGTACAACCATCACCACAATCTAACCATAGAATATTTTCTGTACTCAAAAAATTCTTTCTTCTTTAAAATCTGCAATTTTCACAAATTAGGTTTTCTTAAAGAAGAGAATATGTATGAACATGACACTTTTTTTCATACATTGCTGATTGAAATGTAAAATGATACAGCCACGCAGGAAAAAATTTGGCAGTTTCCCACAAGACTAAACATGCACTAATCATACAAACTAGCAGTTGCACTCTTGGGCATTTTTCCCAGAAAAGTGAGAATTTAGATTCCCACACAAACCTGTACAGGAATGTTCATAGCAGGTCTATTCATAATACTAAAAACTGGAAATAGCCCAAATGTCCTTCAGTAGGTGAATGGGTAAAGTCCATTACATCCACACAATGCAATTCTACTCAGCATCCAAAATGACATTCTGGGCTGGCCTGGTAGGCAGTGGTTAAGGGAGCCGGATCCCATTCAGCCAGCCATGGTTCAAATCCCAGTCGAAAAGTCTTGGAAAACATGCTGGAGCCTGTATATACATGCCCTAAATCATGAGAATTTTTAATAATACAATTAGGTCCTCCTGTCTGTAATGTCCTTTTATTTTCTTTAACACCTTTATTGAGATATAACACATACTATAAAATTTACCCATTTAGGGACTGGCAGATGGCACGGAAGTTATATTGCTGAACATCCACATGACCAACTGCAATTCGAATCCTGGACCCAGTGGCTTGAAAATCACACCAGAGGCATGTGTGTGCATGCCCAAGATCCTGGGAGAGGAAAGGAGAAGGGATTGCGGCATGGCCATCCCTCCTGGGCGGGGAGGTGGTGATGACTTCTCATTTTCCCTCTTACTGTGCGTGCCCCTCTCTCTGGCAAGTGCATGTGCTCTAAGGCAAAAGCTTCTAAAAATTTATTTTAATTACTTACTTAAAGTATCTAATCCAATGCAGTCATGCACTGCATAATAATATTTTGGTCCTTGACGGTTCTCGCCTAAGACAGTGATCACATCAGAGTGTGATAAACCATGCCATGTGATCTAGGTGTACAGTAGGTCAGACCGTCTAGACTTGAGTTCTGATGTTTGCATAACAACAAATAATCCAACAAATCATTCCTCAAAATGCATCCCTGTCATTAAGCGACACGACTGTATAGTTACAGAACTGTACAACCATCACCACAATCTAACCATAGAATATTTTCTGTACTCAAAAAATTCTTTCTTCTTTAAAATCTGCAATTTTCACAAATTAGGTTTTCTTAAAGAAGAGAATATGTATGAACATGACACTTTTTTTCATACATTGCTGATTGAAATGTAAAATGATACAGCCACGCAGGAAAAAATTTGGCAGTTTCCCACAAGACTAAACATGCACTAATCATACAAACTAGCAGTTGCACTCTTGGGCATTTTTCCCAGAAAAGTGAGAATTTAGATTCCCACACAAACCTGTACAGGAATGTTCATAGCAGGTCTATTCATAATACTAAAAACTGGAAATAGCCCAAATGTCCTTCAGTAGGTGAATGGGTAAAGTCCATTACATCCACACAATGCAATTCTACTCAGCATCCAAAATGACATTCTGGGCTGGCCTGGTAGGCAGTGGTTAAGGGAGCCGGATCCCATTCAGCCAGCCATGGTTCAAATCCCAGTCGAAAAGTCTTGGAAAACATGCTGGAGCCTGTATATACATGCATTAAATCAGAATGGGAAAATAGAGAACAGAGATTGCACCTGACAGAATGGGAAAATAGAGAACAGAGATTGCACTATAATCAGATCCCACTGGGGAGTGCTTTCTCCTTTTCTTTCTCTGTCTCCCTGACTCTGACTGTCAGAATACACATGCTCTCTGGCTTTAAAAAACAAAAAAAGGACATATTATGGGTACACATGCTACTTGGATGGTTAAGGGCATTTTGCTTAATGCAGAAGAACAATTTCAAAAAGTTACATACTATAGGATTTCAATTATATAACATTCTCAAAATGACAAAACTAGAAAACAGGTTAATAGTTGTCAGGGAACAGGAACAGGGTAGATGGGACAAGTCAGACTTAGCACTGGAGAGGTCATTGGAGGTGATGAAACGGTTCTTTATATTGACGGCAGTGGTAGTTACACAAAACTACACATGGAATAAAATTGCACAGAACTACACACATACAGATCCACACTCACACACAGTCATATGCATAAATGTAAGTAAAAACTGTTGAAATATATGGGGCCAGCAGGTAGCATGGTGTTTAAGGCACTGGATTCCCACCTGGCTGACTGTGGTTCAAGTCCTGGAGCTGGTGACTTGAAAATCACAACAAATAAATAAATGTATGTTTTTAAAAAATGTTGAAACATCACTAAGAGCCTGCCACCTATTAACAGTATTGTACCAATATTAGCTTCCGGGTTTTGAGATTGCACTGCTGTTATAATAAGAACATGTGACCACTGGCAAATACTGATAGACAAGTTCGAGGGAGTCTGTATACTATTTTCACAACTTCCTGTGAGTCTATAATAATTCAAAATAAACAGTTAAAATTATGTCATTTTAAAAGCAAGGCTAAGACAAGTTTCGAGTCTATAATAATTTCAAAATAAACAGTTAAAACTGTGTCATTTTAAAAGCAAGGCTAAGACAAGTTTTGAAGAAATACCTAAACCTGAAAGCTCACATGTATGTGATTCTGAGACCATTCCTAAGATTGATATGCCTTGATCATCACTGCTAAACACCTGATATAAAGATCAAAATCCCAAAACAAGTTCTTTAAAATTAAAAAATCATTCAAGAGAATAGAAAGAACACCTTAAAAGAACAGATAAAAGCAGAGCCTCAAAGCTGGTATATAAATACAAACTAAAGTATAAATAAAAGATATCCTAGGAAAGGTGCAAAGATCAAAGTTATCTGAAACTATAGAAGTAATCCCATATAAAGCATAGTCTTAACATGTTATCATAATGAGGAAGATGGCTCAAACTCTTGAAAACATTCTTAAAAATTTTAGAGGGGAAAATTACAGTGAAAAACACCTGAACTTATTAGGATAAGTAGCACGATGACAAAGTAGCAGCGATAAATCTGTCCTCAAAAATGAATGTAGGCTTATTATAATGCTTCTACAATAATAACAGTAGTAATAATGATGAGAAGTAAAATTATTAAGTGCTATGTACCCAGAAATGTTTCTAAATATTTTACATGTATCAATTTATTTAATTCTCATAACAACCTGCTAAGGTTGACACTGTTTTTTCAAGGTTTTTTGCCATGACACGTGTGCACTTGCCAGAGAGGCAGAAAGAGACAGTGAGAAATCACCCCCCAGGGGAATGGCCACTCTGTAATCTCTTTACCTCCATTCCCCTCCTGGGATTTGGGGCACACACATACACACACACACACACACACACACACACACACACACACACACACCTGGCATGCGTTTCAATCCGCCCGATCCAGGACTCGAGCTGTGGTCAGCCATGTGGGAGTCCAGTGCCTTAACCAGTATGCCGCCTGCTGGATATTATTATTATGATCATTTATACAGATTTTAAAAAGCTGGGGCACTATGATTTTATATCATTTAACTTAGCTCATATAGCAAGTACATAGTGAAGTTAGAGCAGGAATTGATATCAATACAGAGTCCTTCAACCAGCCCCCTTTTTTCCAGCAGTCCTTGTGTCCAAGGCATGAACCAGGCATGAGAACAGACCAAGAGTCAAGCTGGGATAAACAAGGGGTTATGCTGTTGCTGGCTGATAAGAGGGGAACACCACCAACCACTTGGTGCTGCTCTACCCCACCAGGGATAATACATGCATTTCAAATTCCAAAATTAAATGAAGAATGTGAATTGATCTATAATTTTAGAGTGAAAATTAAGCCCTAGTAGTAATTAGGTCCTTGATCACCTGGTTAAAAGAAGAAACAAACTGATTTTATTTGAGTCAACATGTATTTTCAGTTATCCAGTGTCCACAGGACCATTTTTATTTACATAAAATAACTAATACCCATGATTGATAAGTAGATCTGCAGTTCGGCAGATTAGATAACCTCGCTCTTCTAATACAAACTAGGCAAATGCAGTTAGGGACGAAAACAAGGAAACTGAAAGCAGAAGGAAGCAGATGAACAGACACTTTGACGCCTCACTGGGATTTGCTCATCTTTGTAACCAAAGGTTTGAGTTGAAATATTCCAGGGAAGAAAAGAGAAGTGATACATAGGTCAATATCTAAGTAGGAGGGATTAGAACAGAGGATTCCATATAAATTTTGGTATCTCAGTGAAAAAAATAAACTAGTAAAACCCTCTCATGAATACAGGGTGATAACATGGCACCTGGTACCTTGCCCATATCCTTGATGGGATGTTGTGGGGGGAAATCTCTTCAGAATTTGTAACAATGAATAAGTACCCAATAAGTAGTTACTGTTTTACATATTGTAGTTATTTTAATTCTCAATAATCTAGGTGGAAATGATAATAATCTTCCCTTTGAATGTAGCTATAGTTTTCCAAAATTTCTTCCGTATTATGAAAATGTGATCTCTGGCTTTGAAAGTCAGATGGCAGGGATTGTAATACTCATTCCCCCTGCTAGAAGCTTTATGACAAGTTATTTAATCTGTCTGTTTCATTTCATCTATCTACAAAATGGTAGTACCTAAGAGATTATTATAATGTTTTATGTCCCTAACATATAGGAAATAATAAGTAAATATCAGCCATTGTTATTATACCAAAATTCATTTGATCTTCACATGTGCACTGTAATAAAGGCTTTGTTTCTATTTTCAAATGGTGCTATAATATTTGATAGTTAACAACTCATCCAGCATGACAATCAGACTTTCAGAATCAGGACCAGAATTCACACCTCTTGTGTCCTAGCATTTTCAGCTCTTATAAAAGCTTTTTTTTTTTTTCAAATAAAGAATCTAACCTGGGCTATGCACTACATAAGGAGACATCTCTCTAAATCTCTCAGAGACTCCAATCTTCCTTTTATGTTCATTTGTCTGCTAGAGGAAGTTCACAGAGTATCTTATAAATACTCTGATTTTTTAATTTTTTTTACATCTCCAGCCTGTACAATCAATGTCAGTAAGCTAGCATTTAATAGTATCTAATTGTATCCATCAGGAGGCTTCAGTAAGAAAGAAAGAGACCATTTTTATTGGTTAAACAAACACCATCACGTCTAAAAGGTACGGTCTGAGAAGCAGATGGCACCTTCAGAAAGGAGGAGGTCGAGAGAATCTAAAAAGACTCCTACCAGCCAACCAAGGTTTGTGGCCCTGGATGTGTTCTGTAAGGCCCTCTGTAATTTGTCCCTGGTGATCTCTCTGGCTTTGATCTTTTCTTTCTTTATATTAACTATCTACAGGGCTTTAAAAGTCTCAAGTTTCTAAGCATGCCATCCTTTTTCTTTCTTAGGTCCTCTGCCCAGACTCCGCCCCCCTCCCCCCCATATATACACACTATCATACACTTCCATTGCTATAGCATACATACATATTTTGCTAGGCTATCTCAAATGTGCATTGAGGTGGTGGGGAAACTTCTCTGTCTTCCATTTCTTGGTTCAGTTCCATCTATCCCTGAACTCCTGAGGCTCCTTGTGCATGTCCCTGTTAACTGTCACACTGTACCCTCAGTGTGTCTGAGAGCATGGCCAGTCTTCCTCCCAAACTGTTAGCATCTTAGCGGCAGGAATTTTATTCTATTTTCATCAGGTCAAATTTGCATTTATTCACTTTCCTTTACCAATTATTTGCACAGTATCAGGTCTCTAATAGGTGAACAATAAACATTTGTGGAATACACAAGTTAGTAAATTTCACTCCCAATAAATAAATTCTACTCTTAGTATATCAGAAGTTCATGAAAGGGTAAAGTAGTAAAGATAGCAAGAATAATAATATCTATCACTTATGGAGGGGTTGTGAAATATGAGGCATGCTGGGATGCTTCATATTTCATAGGCATCACGGGGATTATCTTATTTTTTGAACAATCTGCAATATACATACAATAATGTTGGTCCATTCTACAGGTGAGGAAAGTGAGGCTCAGAAATATACTACTATTTTCTCAAGGTAATAAAACTAATAAAGTGTTGAGTAGGGATCTGAGCCTTGGTTGTGTCTACTTAAGTCCAAAATTCTTAAGTACCAGGCTCTGTAGCTACAAGTTAAGTGTCAGCCCCTTTGGCTGCATTTCTGAGAAGGTGGTGCAGCTTGAAGCTGCAGAACGCAGAACAGCTGTTTGGTGGCCTGGATCTTGCTAACTCATGGAAGGACATTTTATCTTGTCTGAAGAGAGAATGAAAAGAGTGAAGTGAAAGGCAGGGGCAGCTTTGTTTTGGGAAAGAGGAAGTGGGATGACAAATGAAATAAACAGGGAATCCCACATCAGAGCAACCACAGATCCAATCTAAGACAGGCATTTCATCTATCAATGCCATTCTGACAACCAGCTAATTAAATATCTCTGGGGAGACAGTTCCCATCTTGACTCACAAGGGCAAGTGCTGAGTCCTGAAGCCTGTTCTCCACATGGAGCTTAGTAAGGCCAGCTTCCCAGATGGCCTGATAATCCCTGAAGCAAGCGTAACACCCAGGTCCCACAGGAAAACAGGCAAAGGCAGCAGATTACTCGTACGGAAAGCAAGCTTAGCATAATAAGAATAAAGGCTTACATTTATTAGGCACTTGCAATCAGTCTCAAGCAACTGAATGATTATTTCATTTAATCCTCCAAAAGAATCTAATAGGATAGGTATTATCCCCATTTTATGGATAGGAGACAAAGGGACAGCAACCGTGCTGACATTTGCCTCCTGTCTTCTCAGCGCCAAGACCATCCTTCTTCACTTTATACTCTCTAATTTCTACTTGGCTGGGACTCTGCAAACTACATGACCCAGAATACTTAATCTACCAGCTTCCTATTAGGCTCTACCAACAAATGAGAAATGGGTCTTCTTTCCTCTTTCCTTGTTCTTGCAAGCTTCACTCCTACAACCATAGTGGTCTCCACCCAGCTTCTTTTGGCTCTTCCATTCCCAGGCTTGCTACATCCTCTCAGAAGTACCAGGACAGCTCTTCCAAAATCTGAGCGTTGCAGGGAAGCCACTTCTTTGTTGACTCAGCCTAAGGTGGTTTCTCCTTCCTCCGGGTGTCATCCCTGGACTGACCTCTATGTTCCTTTTCAAAACTCTTTCACTTCCAACATGTGTATAAACGATGCTCTGTATTAACTCCACTCTGTGTGAAATACCTAAAAGGTTGTCTATGTTTATGACTGAACCTGGATTGACACAGAGATGTTAACTCTCTTGTCCAATGTCACACAACTAAAAAGCAGCGTGGCCATTACTAAACCCAAGTTTTCCACAGAAGTTTAAATGGGTAGCTTCATCTATTATGATAAACTAGGGCCACAATCAATGCACACTTGTTGAAATGAACCAATTTCTTAGTGTTCAAATCATAACTATACTTTTATTTTTAAAAAAAAGTGTATAGTGCTTTAGAGCTTATAAGGGATTTCAGAGTCATAATTTCATATAATTCAGAGAATAAATATATTATAGTTAAGGATATAGTCTTTGGAATAAAACAGTTCTTAGTCTAATCTTGATTCTCCGTATAATAGCTGTGTAGTGTATGGTGAGTTATCAAACTTTATTGAAACTTGGTTTTCTTATCTACAAAGCAAAGTTACTGGAACTATCTAACTCATAGGGTTAGGGTTACTGGGTTGTACATAAGATTACTTCTGATTTATTTTCTAACGTGGGCGTTCCTAGAAAATTTCATATTTAACCCAACTAAATTTTTGTTTTAAAAATGGAGAAAGTAAGGTCCAGAAAGGTGAAGGAATGTAGCCAAATTTACACGGAGTACCAAAATTACATCTCATCCTGGGAACCAGCAGTTAGCATAATGGCTATGTCGCTGGACTCCCACGTAGTCGACAGCGGTTCGCGTCCCGGACCCAGTGGCTTAGAACTCACGCCGGGCGTGTGTCCATGCGTACCCAAGATCCCAAGAGGAGAATGGAGGAGAAGGGATTGCAGCGTGACCATCCCCTCTGGGGGGTGATTTCTCGCTTTCTGTCTCTATGTCTCTGTCTGTCTGACGAGTGCACGTGCCCTATAGCGAAAACCTCCACAAAAATCATTCTTGCTTTCTTGGCTTTCAGACAAAAGTTTCTTTTCAGCAGCTTAGGGGTGGCCTCAGAAAGTATAAGAGCTGTTACATAATGAAAGGTACTTCTAAAAACATACAGTCCCAAGCCACCAACAGGAAGCCATGCACTTTGGATGGCCTAGCTAGACATGACAATGACCTCCTGCCAGCTAATGCAACACTGTCTAAAGTCACAAAAGCTTAGGGGGAGCTAGAAGATGTTCATTCATCCACCATTTCATGCAAATATTTACTTCCTGAGCATCTGTACACACTAAACTCTGTGCTAACTCCCATGGATACAACTGTGGAAAAGACAGATTTTTTAATGTTTCTGAGACTTTCTTATTTATTCATTCAAAAACATGTTTTGAGCACCTACTATGAGTTTATCACTGTGTTAGGTGCTAAAAGTATTGTCTTCAGAGAACCCCAGGCTAGTGGGAAAGAGGTTAACAAGTACTTAACCTACAGAATGATCAGTATCAAACACAGGTGCATTCAGGAACATAAGGATGTATTCTCACCCAGTTTTGGGGGTCCACGGCAAAGTCCTTAAAAACACTCAGGGTGAAGCTGTGATCCAAAGGAGAGGTAATGAGAGTAGTCT